CAGAACTATAGAGATAGCTCCCACATTTTGGTGTCCTGTTACCAGGCAGTGGACATTTTAAAGTGGGGAGATTGTAACGGTGGGGTCTTATCATCTTCCACTAATCTGTTCATAATTTTAACCACAAACATTTGATCCACTGGGAAAAGTATGAAGTACAGTTTCTCTTTGTGTATATCTCTGCCGCTGTTCACACATCTGTGGTGCTGAAAACACCCGATCCCGTCCTTATCCGAGTTATTCCTCAGGAACGAGGAGCAATGGTAAGAAAGGAGTTAAGAAACTTCTGCTTTTTTGGTTGCTGGAAAACAGAATCTTATTTAACCTTTCGATTAACCTATGATTTCTCTATTAAGTAAAAATTTGTATTTATTTTTTTTTGCATTTAGGGCGTCTGTAAATATGATGCTGCTGCTGTTACTAAATGACACTGCTTTCAAGATGGAAGGTGAATGATCTGGTCCTCTCTACTCATAGATTGAAGGTGAAAAAGGGGTCCCTATGTCCTCCAGCAGTCTAAGCCAACAGCAGCATAACTATAGAGATATGAAGTGTCTTTGTTAATTAGCACCCTTTAACAGAAACTTAGAGTGGATGTCATAATTCTCTGCAGCAGCAGCAGTTGTCAGTCTCAATTATGTATTGTAGAAATGCACCGGTCATTGAAGAGCCAGTTTATACAGAATTTCTTTGTATTTGATCATGTTTATGAATAGAAAATTGAAATTTATTGCATTTTTCAATTGTTGCTGTATTTTTTGGGAGTTGTTTATTGTGTGGGTGGGGCGGTTAAATGTTTCATCTTTTTAATTTCACAGCAAATGTATTAATTTGCATTACTTTCACAGTAATTTGCTGGCCAAACTTAACACAACATATGTTGTAAATTTACAGTAGATTAATGTCAATATGTACATTAATGTAAAAGTAAAGGACCGTATTGTTCTAATGTGGAGCAAAATGCTGTAATTTCACGGTAAGGTTCTGTAATATAAAGGTAACTGCTTTTTCAGTGATGCTGTAATGTTACAGTGGTGCTGTATTACAGTTAGGATTAGTAATCGTAATGTGAAAGTATTGCAACACTTATCCAATAATTTACTGTAAATTAACAGTGAAAAGTTGCAGTGCATTATAATTTTTGTTTATATTTGTCTGTTTTATTGAAAAAATCTTTTTTGTAGATATGTTCTCTGTCCTGTTGACCTTCTTGTTTCTTGCAATATATATTCTATCATGTTTTTAACCTGTGTTCCTTAGAGCAACAACTTCTGCTATAGTTCAGGCTGTTGATGCCTCCTGGTGCATAAATATTGCTATACGGTCTCTGCTGTTGCTTTGTTTATCTGCAACAGCTCCGTATCCTAGTTTGCGTCTCATCTTTGTGGGATTTTTTTCTTTTTTTTTTTATTTTAGTTTAAAAACTGCTTCCATCTGATTGAACCTTCTGCCGCTCCTTTGGTCTGTTTTCATGTTTTATTTGAAGTCATTGATTGTCGGATCAGCCTTTTGTCTCTGAAACTTGAAAGTAATCACCACCACCCACATTTCCCCTTCATCATCTCCTCTGTGGCAGACTCAGGAGAGATGATGAAGTCAGGTCTATGATACCTGGCGCTGCAGGCATTCAGTAGCAGCCATTCAAAAGTCAAACACCAGCCGAATGGCAGCCCACTTCCCTGCAACTCCCAGCAAAATCCCCTCCAACTTCCAGCCACTGGAGTGACCCTCTCTTGGATACTTTTTTTTACTCTGACTCCACCCTTTCACTGAATTACAGGGTCTGACCAGGAGATGGCGCTTCTCTTTAGATTTTATGTCCACAGATCACGACAGAAGAAATATTTTAGTACAAAGATTGATGTTTAAAAAGGAATTGAAGGGGCACCAGCCATGGGCCAGCTAAGGACCCATCAAGGAAAGTTTGGAAATTTTTAATGGCTATTACGGTGTCCGATATAAAACGGTGTCCTTTACATCAGTGAGTTATATCGGTGAAATGTTCACTATTATCCGATATTCACTTTTAAAGCTAATATCGACCGAGAACCAGACGTGTGAACGGAGCGGAGTGCCGCGCAATTCCTACTTCCTGCTTAGGAGGATGTTGGCTCAATCGCTCCACCGCTTAATGTAGCCCCAGGACCCTCCGCTTTAAAATGGGCTCTGCACTCGCCTTCATTTTCCTGCCGCTCTGGCGAAATCGCTCTGCGCTCGCTCAACTTTTCAGGAGAAGGCATTTTCTGACATTTTTCCTTCCTGTAATTGACATTGTTAGCGCATTAGAGCGAACTGGAGCGGAGCAACATCCGCTCTCCAGCCTTTGAATTAAAACCCGCTCTGCGTTCCACCATATTCCTTCCACTCCGCTCCACTGCTCGCATGCTCTGCCCAGAACCCAGTGATAATATCGTGCACTCCTATTTTTGGTGGTTTCTCTTTGAGGTCTTTGAAGGGATAAAGTCTCTGTAGGATGTACTTTAATGTCTGAAGATGGTTTTTGATTTACTGTCCTACTTGTGAACAATGAAAGCATCACTTGATGGTGTTACTAGATACCTAAGATTCCTCTATAAAGTCTGCAGTGACTGTCGGGTTTTATTTTGGATAATGCTGTATTTTACGGGTTGGAGATTCTAAAAGGACATAACCACACGTGTCACTTTAAAGCC